ATTTTTGAATTAATTTTAACAAATTAGAGTGAATTAAGGAAACTGAATATTCTTAATTAGTTTGGATCCCTTATTTCATGCTAATCATTAATTATCTACAATAAATTCAAATTAAATTACAACCCACAATTTAGTTTTTTATTTTATTATTTCTAATTCGTTTTTTTTAAAAAAAATTTCGTTTATCTTTTTATTTATTTTTAAGTTTTTTCCAATTAACAAAAACATTTTTTTTTTTAACTTGTTATAACCTGAAATTTTTAATGTTATAGCTTGAAAGTCTAAATCTACTGTTATAGCTTGAAAATAGTACTATAATATATGTCATATATGAAATTTACACTAAATTTTACCATGTCCATTTAAAAGTTTAGTAAAAATTAGCGACAGACCATATCTGTTGCTAGTTGAATTGATTATGAGATTCTTGTGAGACATGAAGGAAAAAGTCGTGTGTTGATCAAAATTGAAGTTAATGTGTGTTTATCAAAATTGAAGTTAATGTGTGTGTTGTTTGATTTACGTTTTTCATCAATAATTTATTATATAAGTTATCCTATCAACGTTTACGTGGTATGTTTGAGGATTTCTATATGACGATATTTTTCTTTGGCCACTCAGGCTAAACAATATCAGAATAATCATTTTGAAGAACTTAATAATATTTTCTGTTAAGTTTTATCTTATAACTCAAACCTATAACTCAATATTATCATTTGATTTTTAGTTATATTTTTATATATATATAAATATAGTGACAATGCCTGTAGTCTAAAATTAGTAAGCACTAAGTTTTTTCAAAAATAAATAAATAGATAAAAAAAAGCTATTTACTCCCAAAGATATATTCCTAAATCTTATTTTTCAATTTCAAATTCAAAATTGTAAATAAAAAAGAATCCTAGTCCTTTTAGGTTTCAAAAGGTATTTACTGCATCCACAGTTGAGAAGATTTAGGCACGAAGCAAAACGTTCTCCATAGCACAACCGTAGAACTATCCAAATCTTTTCTTTCTGATTAGGTTTTCTTGGTTTGAAGTTTCCCCTCCTTTCTCTACTACTTGTTCCATCCTTCGGGTCATTTTAGGCTAGTAGCATGGTCGACATGACTCTCGAGGTTTTCAGTGTGAGTCGGTGCGATTAGGCGTTTTAGCCTTTGAAGTTTGACTTTGGTCAACATTCTGAGTAAACGCGCTCGGATGAGAATTCCGTCAGCGTGGTTAGCTCCGAAATGTCGATTTTGGTCTAGATTGACCCTTCTTTTGTGTCTGGAGGTTTTCAATATCTTTCCGAGCACTTTTGTTGGTTTTGACTTAAAATGACTTTTGGAAGTGGGACCTACTTTTTATCGAAATGACCTCTGATGGAAATTTCGACTGCGCCGTTCAGTCTGGAATATCAAATTTGGTATGGTTGCATATCTCGTTTGCGTGCACGGGGTTCCGAACGAGTTCGGAGCACCCCGTCGGAGTTTTTAGTTTTTGGGAAATTGCAGATTTTCTGCAATAAATGCAGAAAAACAGCAACATATTTTCCAAAATTTCAAACCCTCATAACTCTTTCATCTCTCAACCGATTTGGGCGATCCAACAGGAAAAGTTGTGAGATTTTTTGAGGACAACGCGTTGGTGAGCTCGGATAGTGATTTGGGGTCTCCGTTTGAGGTAAATTTTGCAATTAACCTGACTGCAGAACCCTTTTTCGAGCTGTGGTTTTTGGCATTATTGTTTTGATCATATCTCACTCATTTTAGCTCGGAATTGGGTGATTCGAAGTTCCATGTGTTGAAAATTATCGTGTCTTCGTCGTAGAGTGCTTAAGGAGTGTTGGGAACTTTTTGATTCTCGTTAATTTCAAGTTTAGGCTGCTGCAATGTTTTCTTTTAAGTTGATATAAGTGTGGTTTTCTTGCTTGTTGGGTGTTGATGCGTTTTGATCCCCAAATTGTGTTTCATTTTGGACCACAAGTTTGGAGTGCTGTTTAGGGTGTCTTGACGGAGTCAAATTCGGATAGTTCGGTGCGGGTCCCACATTTCCCATTTTGACTACAAAATTGATTTGTCTCCGTTTGTTGTGATTTTTGTGTCTAAACGACTGTAATAACGTTGCGATACTATTTTTGATAGCGGGGCAGCGTTTTGAGGACGTTCGGAAAGGGAAAGCTCCGGAGAAGTTATTTTGGAGCTCGTGTGATTGGCCTACAGGTAGGCTACGGTTTTCCCTCTCTTAGATTGAGCTCGAGAATGTGAATGCATGTTGATTAGTTGGGATTTGGGTTGGGTAGTTATTGAATCCTACATAGGTGTTAAGAAATTATGTTTTCGGCCTATTTCGGGAATTATCGGGTAACTGTGAGCATGCTTTGTGTTATTAACGGACCCTCCTCGCTCTGTGGAGTGCTTGCATGCTTAATTATTATTTATTTGAAGCATGTTGGGCCTTAGTTTAGGTTTGACTAGGGCTTGCCTTAGAAATACATTATTCGGATCCAATAGGCCTTAGTTTTGCTTCGACGTCGCTCTGCCGGCTTAGATCCCTGTAGACTGGTGTAGCAGACTTGAGTCTGATAGTTTGGGCCTTAGTTAGGCGATACTCTTTGTCCGACTATAGTTATCCTTATTTTCCCCGATGTTACGGTTTCACGAGTTACATCGGCGACACTAGTTCTACTTCGCGGTTTGAATTTGATTTTCAATTTGGTTCCAAGGACTTACATTGATTGGCTAAGTATGGACGGAGTTCCACAAATATTTATGAGTGTGGATCGATTATGACTCTTTCAGCAGCTACATTGGCACCTTTATAGAGCATCCGGTTTAAGGTCCGGCCTCTATTGCCCAGATACTTATATAAAGCATCCGGTTAGAGTTCCGACCTCTATTGCCCAAATACTTATATAAAGCATCCGGTTAGAGTTCCGGCCTCTTATACTTGTTACTTGTGATTGGTTACTTGGGTACTTCTGCTGAGCATCCGGTTCGAGGTCCGGCCTCCGTACTGTCAGATTCTACTAATTAGGGTTGAGGTTTTGGTTCGATGTTCTTCGTTCTTGGGTTCCTATATGCAATTTCTGTTAGAGTTCCGGCCTCTTATACTTGTTACTTGTGATTGGTTACTTAGGTACTTTTGGTGAGCATCCGGTTCGAGGTCCGGCCTCCGTACTGTCAGATTCTACTAATTAGGGTTGAGGTTCTGGTTCGATGTTCTTCGTTCATGGGTTCTTTTATGCAATTCTCTTTAGTTATAGTTATTTTGTGTACTCGTCGTGCTTATGGGGGTCCGTTTGGGTTTTTATTTAACTTGCGCACGAGTGTACCTTCTGGGCTTATGGGGGCCCAGTTAGGTGTAGTTATCTTATAGATTACTTTAGTTAGTTCTTTGTACACTCGTGTGCATTCCCTTGTTAGTTGGATTTTAGTTCTTGACTTCGGTTTGTGTTATTCCTTCTTTTCATACTGCCTTTACTTTTCAAGTTCAGTCGGCCTATGATGCCTACTGGGTACCTGTTGTTTTGGTACTCATGCTACGCTCTGCATCTATTTCGTGATGCAGGTCCGGGCACTAGTAGCCAGCGTTGATCGAGCTTGGAGCAGACTGATCCGGAGACGGGAGTGAGCACACGACGTTTTGTACTATTTCAGTCTCCATCTGTATATATAGACTTGTCTTTTACCTTTCGAGACAGTCCAGTCTCTGTTGTCCACTTTTGGGACTTGTACTCATTTTGTTAGTAGCTCTGTACTAGTGACTTCCAGGTTCTGGGAGGGATCTTTATTTGTATATATGTTTTTGGTTTGCTTCCGCCTGTTTATATTGTTATTTGCCTACTCTTGTTTAGTTTCTACCCTCAGACCCATTACTTGTTGTTCCGGGTTACGGGTTGGCTTACCTACTGGTGGGTTATAGTAGGTGCCATCATGACTTGTGAAATCGGGTCGTGACAGATTTCTTTTGGAGGTATACTCTAACTTGTCCCTGTTAATTTCTTTTTGTTACTTATCAATGGATAAATCATGGATTGGAAAGCCACAGACCTCAAATGAATACTTGCTTGGTTTGGATAAATTTCTTGATTTTGCATTTAAAAATGCGGCTATGGATGATACAATCAGATGCCCATGTCCCATGTGTTGTTTTGGCAAGTGGAAAACTAGAGACGAAGTGCAGGATCATTTGGTTTGCAAGCCATTCCCTCAAAATTATGTTATTTGGAATATTCATGGTGAGAAAAAGCTATTAGAGTCTTCTGGAGATAGAGTTGTTATGCAAGAGACGTTTCGTCCAGAAAATCCAATAGAAACCAATGATTAGTGACGCATTTGGGCAGTATAGGCAGCAATCGGCTGATGTAGGAACATCTCAACCATTTGGTTCAACTGAAACATCAAATGAGGGGCATAGGGAGGATACTGGTGACTTTCGCGACTTTCTCAAAGATGCAAGTGAAACACTGTATGAAGGGAGCAAGTATACAAAGTTAGAGTTTTTAATAAAAGTGTATCATATAAAGGTCTATTGTCAATTAAGTGACAAGGCAATGACCATGATACTAGATTTATTGAGAGATGCATTTGAAGATGCAAAGTTACCTCCTTCTTTTTATGAGGCCAAAAAAACAATTAGCAAACTTGGCCTTGACTACACCAATATACCAGCATGTCCAAATAATTGTATGTTATTCTGGGAAGGTGATTCTGAATTGGAAGCATGTAAGCATTGTGGTACATCTAAATGGAATCCTAACAAGAAATACAAGCAAGCTACAAAGGTTTTGCATTACTTTCCATTGAAACCAAGGTTGAAAAGGTTATTTATGTGTCGCAAGACTGCTGAGCATATGAGATGGCATGCTTTGGACAGTAACTCAGATGGGTTGATGAGGCATCCAAGGGATGGTGAGGCATGGAAGACATTTGATCGAACTCACTCTGGATTTGCTTCTGATCCTCGAAATGTTCGGTTGGGCCTCGCTAGCGATGGTTTTAATCCTTTTGGAACAATGAGTACTACCTACAGTATTTGGCCAGTCTTCTTGATTCCGTACAATCTTCCTCCTTGGATGTGTATGAAGCACACCTCTTTCATCTTATCAATGATCATTCCAGGCAAGCAGATGCCTGGAAATAATATAGATGTGTACTTACAGCCTCTTGTGAAGGAATTGTGTGAGTTATGGAATGATGGTGTTGAAACGTTTGACTCATCATTGAATGAAACTTTCAGAATGCATGCCGCTCTTATGTGGACAATTAGTGACTTTCCTGGATTAGGTATCCTCTCTGGCTGGAATACACATACTGGTTTTGCTTGCCCAACTTGTAACTTTGACACAGAACCTTGTCGTCTTGTTCATAGTAAAAAGTGGTGTTTTATGGGTCATCGTCGTTTCCTGAGAAGAAATCACAGGTTCAGATTCAACCGAGTGCGCTTCAATGGAAGCACAGAGGAGCGGAATCCACCAATAAAACTATCAGGATCTGACATTTTGAGACAAATTGCGGAAGGTAAAGGAGCAAAGTTGGATGGTAAAAGGAAAAGATCTAGACGAGCAACTAAACAATGGAACAAGAGAAGTATATTTTTTGAACTTCCTTATTGGCAGTCTAACTTGTTGCGTCATATTCTAGATTTTATGCCATAATCTAGATTTTATGCATATTGAAAAGAATATATGTGACAATATCATATATACGTTGCTCCATGATAAATCAAAATCAAAAGATAATGAAAATGCCCGAAAGGATCTAAGAGAAATGGGCATAAGGCGTGATCTTTGGCTGAAGGATAATGGATCATATAACCTTGCTGTGTTTTCACTAATGACTGATAGCAAAAAGAAGTTGGACACCAAAAGTTGTTTCTTACAACTTTAAAGAATATTAAAGTACCAGATGGCTACTCAAGTAACATCTCCAGATGTGTAGATTTGGTACAAAAAAAGTTTTTTGGGTTGTAAAGTCATGATAGTCATATTATTTTAGAGCAATTTCTACCACTGGCAATTCGTAATGTATTGCCTGACCATGTAGTTACCGTTCTGGTGGAATTCTGCTCATTTGTCAGAGCCATCTCTAGCAAAACCTTGAATATTTCAGAGCTAGATATTCTTCAAGAGAGCATTATAATCACACTTTGTCACTTAGAGATACTATTTCCTCCATTTTTTACAGTAATGGTTCATTTATCTGTTCATTTAGTAGAGGAAGCAAAATTCGGAGGTCCAGTGCATTACCGAAACATGTATCCTGTGGAGAGGTAAAATATTAACCTTCTAATATAAATATGTTTGTTTTCTGGAAACATTAACATTTCTAAATTAAAGTTATTTATTTTATGATCACTTGATATATATAGTTTGTACTCTTAGTGTCTCTTCTTTTTCTAGGGAATTAGGTCATTTTAAGCCCTTTGTACGGAATAAATCACAATCAGAAGGTTGTATAGCTAAGGGTCACATAGCTGAAGAGACTCTTACCTTTTTTTCTCAGTATATGGAGGATACTGAAACAAGGTTCAATAGACCTAGGCGTGTCCGTGATGATCCAAACTACATTCAGCCTTCTGGAATGTCGACTATCTTCCCTCAGTTAGGTAAACCTGCATCAGCTCCAGAAAATTACCATTTAGCTCCTATGCAGAAACTACAAGCTCATCGATATGTTCTTTTAAATTGTTCAATAGTCACACTATTTGTGGAGTGAGTAACTTTTACAAACTTTATGTTTTTTTGTCGTTGTAATGTTTGCAGTAGGATATTCATTCTATTTAACATTAATTTCTTATTTCATATAGAGAATTTAGACAACACATAAGGAGGAGTTCACGAGGAAGAAGACATTCACCTACAGAGATAGAGAGGAAAGTTAATAAAGAATTTGTAGATTGGTTCCAAAAACGGGTGAGTAAACAATCATTTGCTACTATTTATATTTGGTCTGAATGAGAAAATTTGACGAAGTCGGTTTTAAATTTAGATTATGAATCCAGACTCAATAGACACAATGTCTATTGATCTAAAGTTTTTAGCACGAGGTCCATCTGTAAATACAAGAAGATATACTGCATATAATATCAATGGGTCTAAATTTCGAACTTTGGCTCGAGAAGAAGGTCTGAAAACACAGAATAGTGGAGTTTTCTTAACCTCTAAAACATCATGTGTTGCAAGTAGCTCTGATGGAAATTTAAGGCAAGTGGAGATACCATATTATGGGAAGTTAGAAGATATTATTGAGATCAATTATAATGGACGATTCAAGGTTGTTCTTTTCAAATGTAAATGGGCTGATACTACTCGAGATAGAGGGTATCAAAAGGATCGTTGGAATTTTAATTGTGTTAATTTTGATAAACTGATTCACACGGGTGAACGTGAAGAACATGAGCCTTACATCGAAGCATCTCAAGAACAACTGGTGTTCTATGTGGATGATATTGTCAATAAAGGTTGGAGTGTTGTTGTGCATCTAAAGCCAAGAGATATGTACGATATGGGAGAAGTAATAGAAGAAGAAGTATATGAGAATGAACCATACCAAGGGCAAGAACTTGAACAGTTTTTTGCAGATGGTGATGACTATGTACAACTAGCTACAGATCATATAATTGATGATATAGTAGATCCAAATGTTGCTACTGACCTAGCAACAAATGCAATGTCTGAATGAGTTTTATGATTACCATTAATACTACCAGTTCTTTTTGAAGTATGTTTGGTGCTTATGTGTGATTTTCTTTAATCTGATTTAGAATGAATTTTGTCATCATTTATCATTCAATGAGGCTTTGATTAGACTAATTCAATCGAAGTTGAAATTATCTTTGTTTTTTTTCTACGGAGATTTTAGTTAATTCATTTTTTGATTTGACTTTTCTATGTTGATATATTTTGTCATTGGATGGATATGCTTGATTAACTAGAAAAAGGTTGAACTTTGATTGGATAAAGACTTCCTCTTAGAGATTCAACTTTGAATTTCTTAGGACGTAATTTTGGATAGATTGTGTGTAGTTCTTTATACAAATAATTGTAAGTTAAGTCGAGCCGAGTTAGTTGCGGTGTTAAACTATCTTCTCAAAGCAACCCTGAACGTCCAGGGAGAAAGGGAATGTCGACTCTGTGCCAAGCAGATAAGCCGAGCAGATAGATTTGACAAATTAGCAATTGACGCCTTGCAGTGTTGGCTATGAGGTTCATATATTTTTCCTATATTCTCTTAGAATGTTCCTTGAAATCCTTTATAAAAACGTATATACTGGAATCCTTTCCTTTTTGAATGTCATTTTAAAGGATATGTTATTTTAATTGGATATGTGTTTGTAAAATTGCTTTCAGGTTTATAAGCACGATTGTATTTCATCTTAGGAAGAGTAAAAGGAAATTCAGTTTGTGAAACCTCATAATCTTTCCTTGTTTTGTCATAGAGATGAAAATTGATAGGGTGTTTTGAAATGTTGCAGCCCCGTATGGTTAGGAAAAGTCGGACAATTCACTTAGCCAGAGGTGTAACACCATCCCCTTTATGCTGCTGATTAATTGCTGCCCAAATTTTCAGTTTAGCAGCAATATTAATAGCCTTTACAACTTCAGTTCCATTATTTTTCTGGCCAGAACTTTTGAGTTCCGATGGCACAGGCAAATCTCGATCAACAGCTTGTAGTTGGTACTGATTTCAAAACTGTTTCATGTCCTTGTTTATCAAGAGCTTGTTTAGCTTTTTCAACTTGATTAACTAAAATACAAAGCTTATTGATCACTCACGGCAGCTGCTCCATCTAAGTCCTCATCTTGATTTTTTTTAAAATATCTGTAGCATCAAATACTTTACCAGAGTTCCCGCCCTTGCCATTAACAACTGAAACAACCCCATTTTGAATAGTTAACTCATTCCCTTGAACCTTTCAATTGTGTTGAATGTTATTTGTTCTAGTACTTAAAGCATCCGATTTCTCATTCAAATCAATAACATTTTTTGTTGTTCGTCTTGCATTAATAATTTTCCTAGCTTCTGCTGCATCAAGTCTGAGACCATATATATTCATTGTTGTAGAGGGACTTTGTAGAAACAACAAATAAAATATGAAAATTCTACTTTTTGTGATTCTGCGGCATATATTTGTACAGTCAAGATATCCACAACTAGATCCTTCATGTGCATCTCTTTGAAATGGAATTTTTGTAAAAAGTTGAAATCTACATGTGCACCTTGAGAACCCATGTTTCTTGAATAAATATCCTTCATTTTTCATACCTGTAGGCTATTCAGTTAATGGGAAATCTGCCTTTCAAGAGATCACTTCAGAGCACCACATAGTATATGCAGCTACTCTTGACAGGTAACATGAAAGTTACTTTACTTTCTTAACTTTTTCTTGTTATCCCTCCATCTATTGTGTTCATCCCTCTCATATCCTGATGCCTTTTTAAGTGTATAAATAGTGAAAAAAATGATGTCTCACTTTCTGGTGTTAATGTATGTGTTATTGGGCCAACATAACATTCTCTGTGATGAGCCTACCTTTGACGAAGTCACTTTGATTCTTAGAGATTAGTTTCTCAAGTAGAGGATTCAATCTAATAGAAAGGATTTTAGAAATAATCTTGCAGGAGAAAATAGTTAAAATAATCGGTCTAAGATCAGAGAAGCCGACTGGAGGATATATTTTAGGCTTTAAGGACCAGGCAGGTGTGAGTGAAAAATTTGTCAAGTGTTTTGCCATTGAAAAAACTTTGACAACATTATAGCCGTTAGGTCCTGCATAACTAGAACTCATGCTAAAAACAACATTCTTAATCTCCTCCATATTAGGCATAGTAATAAGATAGGCATTATCCTCCTCAGTGATGATACTAGGAATGCAATCAGTGATTCTGATATCTGTAAAACTGTGGGGAAGATTAAAAAGATGTTCAAAATGGTATGTGGCAGCATGAGATATACCTTTATCACCTTGGATCCAGATGTCTCGATGACCTATAATATTGTGAATATGAAGCTTCCTCCTTCTTTCCCTTATAACACTGTGAAAATATTTAGAGTTTTTATCCCCGTCTTTAAACCGATCTATTTGAGCATTTTGTTTCAATAAGTTCTCTTGCATGATCATCCACTACCGGTGCAGCCTCAGCAGCAGGTCGCAGCAGCAGCAGCGCACAGAGTTCGGCAGCAGCAGAGACCAAAGGGCGTCGCAGCTCTCAGTTGCACAAGCTCGCCGTCACACAGCTCTCAGCACAGAAGTCGATTTATAAGGTAAGTTTATTTTTTTCATGGTGTTTTTATTCATTTACTGAAAAATCCTAGCCCATGTAAAAATAAAGCTTTGATTTCTTTTAGAAACACTTAAAATGATATGGTTCTAGATCTGATAATACTCCTTTAAACACTACTGTAATTGTCTCTTTTTTCTTCATCTTTTTCGTTGTAATTTTGTGAAAGGGAGAGAGAGGATCATTTAGGTAGAAAATGAGGATAAATAAAAGGGGATGGTTTAGGATTATACTTTATATTATATTTTGGTTCAAATTCCTCCTAATTGTGAAAATTTTATCCTATTTTTTTATTTATTATTGGAATATAGAAATAGTAGGGGTGGTGATGTACAGGATCAAGTGGGGTCTAATTAATCCTCACAGTCACTAAGAGGAAGAGATTACTTGGGAAATATCTTTGATAGATCTATTATATTTCATGTGACTTTTAACCAGTTGGCCAACAGAGATAGCTGACATGAGAGAGCTCACCAGCAAGAACAGATGTTTGGAAATTATTGTTAGTGTAAGTATTGGGGTGCCTATACTTAGAAACTACCTTTGAATATAGTCTTAAGACTAACAAATATTGAGGCCAGCACTAAAATATTGAGGCCACACTAGATGTTTCGATAGAGGAGGTAGTTTTTACTTTTTTAGTGTTATATCCAACATGTAAAGATTAAGCTTTTACAAGACCAAGTTTCTAATAATTTTGTGGAGTGGGTTTGGGGTTAAGACAACTTCATTATAAGAAAAAAAGTACAAAATGGACAAAGATTCTAATAAAAGATATACAAACAATAGTGGAAAAGGAGAAACCATAAGAGTCCAGCAAAGAGAAAAAGATGCAAGTGCTATGTATGAAACCTATTTGAGAAGATAAAATACACATTATGTAGCTCATAAACAAGAAAATCTGGTAAAATCAATTACTTCTCTAACAAGAGATCATCAAACACAAATGAGTTGCATTGTAATTTCCAAGTGATGCTTTCAAAAGTTGGAAATCTTGAATAGATGAAGGAATTAGGTGTTTACCAATTGTCAACTGTTAATAATGACTGAGATCTCTCTATAATGACCACTAAAGAAATTTTAAATTGTTTCTTTTCGTGCTAGGCAACTGAGGAAGCTCAACATCTAAAAAAGTTGATACAAGACTATATTGCTTCTTTCATCAAAGTAGGAGATAAGGTTTGGTGCTTCTAAATTTCTAAAGTTCAAGTACAATTGTTTTCTATAATGTGTTTGTGTTCATCTAGTATTGATACTTAACTTTAATTTTATGATAATTTGTTTATGTCCATCGAGTATTTGTTTAGCATAAGTACCAACACTAGTTGATCCTATTGATGACAAAATTGAATTTCTTGCTAGATCGATTTATGTCCATTTAGTGTTGACACTTAGCTTTAAATCTAGAAATAATATATTTGTTAAGCATAAGTACCAACACTAGTTGATCCTATTGATGACAAAATTGAATTTCTTGCTAGATCGATTTATGTCCATTTAGTGTTGACACTTAGCTTTAAATCTAGAAATAATATATTTGTTAAGCATAAGTACCAACACTAGTTGATCCTATTGATGACAAAATTGAATTTCTTGCTAGATCGATTTATGTCCATTTAGTGTTGACACTTAGCTTTAAATCTAGAAATAATATATTTGTTAAGCATAAGTACCAACACTAGTTGATCCTATTGATGACAAAATTGAATTTCTTGCTAGATCGATTTATGTCCATTTAGTGTTGACACTTAGCTTTAAATTTAGAAATAATATATTTGGTAAGCATAAGTACCAACACTAGTTGATCCTATTGATGACAAAATTGATTTTCTTGCAAGATCGATTTGTGTCCATCTAGTGTTGACACTTAGCTTTAAATTTAGAAATAATATATTTGTTAAGCATAAGTACCAACACTAGTTGATCCTATTGATGACAAAATTGATTTTCTTGCAAGATCGATTTGTGTCCATCTAGTGTTGACACTTAGCTTTAAATTTAGAAATAATATATTTGTTAAGCATAAGTACCAACACTAGTTGATCCTATTGATGACAAAATTGATTTTCTTGCAAGATCGATTTGTGTCCATCTAGTGTTGACACTTAGCTTTAAATTTAGAAATAATATATTTGTTAAGCATAAGTACCAACATTCGAGTAGCAACAAGTGTTTGGACATTTTCATGGTGGATGCAACTTCTATACTTAGTGATTTCCTAAAAAACTTTAAATAGATTTTGAGTTTGGATCTCTTTAATTTTAAATTTTAATATTATATTATATTTTTTAATTAATTTGTATTAGCCCACGGGCCCACCCTACCTATATTTCTCAAGCCCCACAAATCAGCAGACTTATTCAAGTCGGGCTAAAAAGATTTTTTTTTAAATGGGCTCCAAAATTTTTAGCCCAGTCCTATTAAATCCTGGGTTAGGCCAGG